TTGCTGCTCTGGTATTAGCAGCTGGCATGTGACATGCCAAGATAAGGAAAGCTGCAATCAGCTTCACACTGCCGTGCCTTGCCAACGCTCGGCCAGACTCCTGCTCAGTCCTGGAAAGAGCGGGCAAACTGCGGACAGAGCTCTGAAGTGACCTGTGCATTGTCCAGTAGGAGAACAAAACACGAAGAGTTTCCGCTCCCCTAACTCTCAATACATGAAATAGCTCCCAACTGCTTTGCATTGGTTTGTAACCAGAAATTCCCTAAGCAAGCAGTTCCTTTTTCTTCTGATAAGGATGCCGAGTAATTTTAAGCCCAACTCTCCAGTAGCATTTGGGTCTCGGCATTGCCCCAATAGTGGTTTAGAGTTAGTGTGCCAGAAACACTCATCCCTGGGAGTAAGCAAGGCACAGTTTGAACATAAGACTTGGGGTCAGGTACCCCCAGCTTCTTATACAGCCTTCCACTCCAACTAATTGCTTCAATCTTCCTGCTGCTGAGGTCCCCATCTGTAACAGCAGACATGCATCATGTCCCAGAGGGGCATTAGGAGGAATCCTATTTATAAAGAACATTGAGAGGGAAGGCAACAGGTTCAAGCACCACTGCTAGGCCCAGCTGCATAAAGCACGTGGCCTCCGCTTGGCAGGACCCCTTTGAGCAATGTGTTGAATGACATCTAAATTCAAGAGTGCGCTGCAAGCATCTGCCACGCAGCTCCTAGCTGCTTTCCACAGACCAACATGGCCTGGCCAGGGCTCTGGAGGCCTGGAACTGCGAAGACTAGAGGCTCGCTGCCCAGCAAACGGTACCAAAGACGTCAGAAAATGACCAAACTAGACAGCACCTCTGTGGGAACAGCTGAGATTGGAGGCAACCAGTATTGCCCCGCTTGCTCGAATCAAAGCAACAACCAAACGAGACGCCCTAGCACAGCTGAGCTTCAGCTCGTTTCCGATTGACCTCAGCTAATCCAAAAACAAGTCACTCAAGGCAAGAGTATTCTCACGCAGGGGCTCGCATCAGTTGAAAAACTGTCTCATTAGATTGGTGCAACTTTCTGAGCTTGACAAGCCCTGGACAATTCACAGGAATTTGTTTTGGCATTTTTCTTTCCCCAAAGATATGTTTTATTTATTGATTTTAGCACTGATGTAGTGCTGGATTAACAGTCCTGGAAACTGGTATTTTATTAGTCTGGCAGGTAGGGAGCATGGTGGCACCGTAGAGACTAACTAGTTCTGAGACACACAAGCTTTTATAGGCAGCAAACTTCAGCAGAGCTGATGAAAGAGATTGTTGCTTATGAAAGCTCATGCTTCTCTGAACTAGTTATTCTCTAACATGCCACCCTGCCCTCCCTTCTGCCTAGCTTCAGACTATCACAGCGAACTACTTCTGTGCTTATCACTCTAGAAAAAGAGCCAAATCCAGACTATGACAGGAGAAATTTCACCCTGGTTCAGGCTTCAGTCCTGCTACTCATGGACCAAGCATACAAAGTTGGAAGAAGCTGGATGCCAGGGTCTCATATGGTGTTTGGCTCCTTGGTTCAGGGGTAGCCAACCTGGGGCAGCCTCTGTATGTGGCATGTACCAGGCCAAGGAGGGGACAACCAGCACAGTGGCAGATAAGGCAGAAAGAAGAAAGTAGAGCAGCAGTAGGGATCAGGGGCACTCAGCGAAGGTACAGGGCTAACTTGTGGCAGACCTGCCAAAAAGGTTGGCTGCCGCGGCTTGAGACCATCAAGATAATGTTTCTTGCCAACTGCAGTGATGGCTTTGTGTTGAAGACATCTGTTCCCTGGCAACTGGTTTGGAGTCCAAGCTCATTTCAGAGAGGCCAGCAAATATCCACGCTCTTTCAATTCCTGCAGGCTCAGGTGAGATATGAGCTATGGCCCAGCCAGACTTTCAGATGGAAGCTAGTGACGCAGACGGGCTTTCAGATCTCTTTCCCATCACTAATCCACAGAGACAACTAGTTCCATCCTCCCAGCCACACTCAGAGGAGAACTAAAAAAGTCCCTCGTTTTTCCTTTTAATTGAATTTACCTTCACTCACCTCTTTCCAATACCTAGAGGGATTAAAAAAAGGGGAAGAGAGAGAAAGTCAGTTGGGAACATTTTCACTGCTTTTTGAAGCAGGAACACTGAGGAATGAGATACCAACCGCTGGAAAAAACAAGAGAGCCAAGCTCTGTGGGAAGTGGCTGATTCACAGATTCCAGTGGCAAGGAACAACGTGCTTTTGTCATCTCATCTCTCAAAAGAAACATCGTTGTGAGACTAAATCAAAGTGAGAAGGCAAATGCAAGTGATGCAGAAGAAAAAAGCATGGAAGCCATCCTCAAAAACGCTGGCTGTGCCCACTTCTGAAAGTGCCAATGCTGGGAAGGGGGGCTGCAGGAAGAGGGCAAGTAGCCTACTGATGGGGTAAAAACCTTCACATGTAATGAACGGGCCCAAGCTCCGCCATACCTTCACTCTGGAGACCTGCGAGAACAGTCACAAAAGCCAGTTTCAATTGTATCCAAACATACCACAAGACCCCTCATGTCACAGGCCTTCCACCTCTAGAAGAGATAAAACAAGAGAAGTAAAGAGCTAAGTGGCACGTTGAGAAACAGGGGATACTTCTTGTGATCACAGAATGAGTCCATTCCAGAGGCCCTTCCATTTGAACAGAGGCATCCATAAAATAGCATGGCTATTTTGATGAGGTATTTCAAAATACCTTTCCCCCCCACCTACAAAAGGACTTCCCTCCTCCTCTCTCCAAGCAGCTGGATCGTCCTTCAGACAGAGACACTGAACAGCTAAACATCTCTCTCCAGGTACCCTTCCACCTGCCAGGCTTATGGCTAAAGTCTGCCTAGCATCCAGGCAGCGAGAATAAGCAGCCTGTTGATCCTTTTTCCAACATTGCCAGCAATTATCCCAGAACGGCTTTATTGTACATGTGACAGCTGGTGACATTGCGAAGATAGCTCTCCCACCTTTTATGTTACAGGATTTAAAATATCCACTTGTTGCAAACGCATCCTCCTAAATCACTAGCCCTGAAACAGGTGCTGCACTTTTCAAATAACAGCAAGCAATCACCGCTGTCCCTAGCATGATAACCTCACTGCAGACCCATGAAGTCTAGACCCACCACATGCCATACCCATGAACAGCACGCCATAGGGCAGGCAAGACCCAAAGGAAAGGGCCCCAACATGGTGTTGATCACAGTGATCTGGTTGCCAGGCTGGGTAAGTTATGATCCTGTGGACATAGTGACCCCCCTCTGAGACAAAACAGGAATTCCAGAGTTGGATAAATGGGACTAGAGCAAGTCAAGGAGATGGAAAGGAAGAGAAAGAAAAGCAGGCAGAAGAACATTCCCTAGTGAGGGGTACAACTCCGGCATCCAGGGAAAG